GGTTATTGGGACAAATGGAGATTGAGCAGGAACTGGAAAGATTGATCAACAACATTCAAATCCATTCGTAGGGGGTTATTGGGACAAATGGAGATTGAGCAGGAACTGGAAAGATTGATCCACAATTGGGTGCAAAAACTAATTTACACCAATACAAACTGATGGAGCATTTGCTGCTGTTTTGTTAAAAAAGTTTGAGCCCAATTTTGTTCAGAGACGGAATGGTGGAAGTTGATCTTGATGTCAGGCTTTGAGCTATTGTATGTTTATAACCAATTCACCTGGTAGCAAGTGATTGAGGCACAGCTTGCCAGGGACATGTCACCCTGTAATATTGGGAACTGGCTCTAAGAGGATGTGGGATAAACAAATTTGATAGTTTAGAATCATTGCACACTGGATATTGCTTTGCCTTGGTAACAAGTGGCAACTATGGCTCAACTTCTGATCTAGCCAAAATTAGTATTGTTCAATTGAGGCAAGTCATGCTATGCTGATTGCTGTGTTCCTGGGCTCACTGAAATGTTGGCTGCATTCTACAACAACCATAAAATAGAGTTTGAGCTGTCAATCCTGTGATCCAGTACTAGTCACCTACAGTGATTTTTGTTCCAGAATTGTGAGAGGACATGGCAGAGATATCCCCACTGGGGGCAATCCCTTGTATTCTGCAGACTGACACCCAAGCAGTTGTCTGCTCAGCAAAAACTAAATCTCAAGTGTTTTGGTCTTTGACCAAAAGTCTCATTAAGTTTAATTTCAGTTGATAGGGCCTTCTCTGAAGCTTGCATTGTCTGAAGGAATGGATCCTAACTAGGATTTGGTATGCTATCCTGGTACTGCATTCACTCCCTCCACTGCAAATTGTAGCACCAGGCTGTACTGTGCTACGCACTGCAGAAACTCACCAAGGCTCCTCAGCACCTTCCAAAACTGAGGCCACTTCCATTGAGAAGCAAGGCAGGCAACAGATATGAGAGGACACCACCACGTGCAAGTTCCTTCCGAGCCATTTGCCATCCTGCCTTGGAAATACAGTTCCTGGGTGAAAATGTATCAAATCCTTCAAGGGCATGGCCCA